CTCACACGTGGCCTACACTTCTTGTGTCCAGGCACACCTTTTCTGCGTGGCGGTGCCACTGGTGTGTGTGGCATTGATGAGTTGTCGGGAGATTCTAAATGTCCTATGACTGTGACTCCACCTTCACATGTGGTTCAAACTACGGCTGTTGTGGTTGGTGATCGTTGGTTAGTTAACACCAATGCTCGTGAAGCGGATGTTTTCTATGAGCGTCACTGTGTGTCCACGTGTGTTGTGCTTCCGTCTCAAACCCTATGGGTGTCAATTCCACGTAGTGCTACGGTCCATGTAGGTGAGGTCTCTCTATATTACTTGGATCCTGGTGAGCATAAGTCTGTTGTGGAGTTTTCTCCTTTTTATGATAACATCTTTGCTCTTTCTCCAGCTACGGTGGATCATGTTACATTCGATGGTTTGACCATGGTTCGGGTGGGTGCGGTGAACAGAGTGCTGCGTGAGTTGTCGGCAGATCCTGGTCTCAGGTTTCAACCAGTGTCTTACTCGTGGTCCTCTGTCGTCTTATTCACTGCATGCCTAAACCTTTGTTTGTCTTTGGGGTTGTCATTGCTCCTGTTCTGTCACTTCTCCGCACGGTTGACCTCTCTGGGGGACTCGGTCCGCAACGTCGGTGGCCGCCTATCTCGAGCTCTCTTGCCGGTTGTTCGTGAAGCACCGGCTGCCCAGGTGCCTCCACCTGCGCCGGCCGGTCCTGAACCTCCACCTGCACCTCCTGTGCCTCCTGTTAGACCTTCGAATTCAAAAGGGGGTGATCTCAATTGTCCAGATTCGTCTGTCCCATAGTCCTCTGTTTCGAGCTACACAAGTTTGTTTGTGTTTGTGTGTGTGCATGGTTGTACTTCCTGTCTATACATGGCGTGCAAACTTGGGTGACTTGAGATGGTCATGCTGTGGGTTCCTGAAGCTCTGTAATGATTAAGTCTTAACAGTTAAGGGGAGTATTCCACAAACTGTTGTTTGTCCAAATTCCATTTTTTATTTTTATTTACTAATCTCTGATTCCTTATGGGGTATATTCACATTTAGATTGATTACTAACATCACTGATTTACATTTTAGTGTTTATTCTTCTTTATATTATGACTTATTTTAAAAATATATTCATAGATATCCATTTCTGCTTTATTTCTTTACAGCTGATTCCTTTTTGTCATTTCTATTGTGTTCTCCTTTATTTTGATTTTTGCCAGTTATGGGACACAGATTATTTTGCCCTTCTGTTTTCAGAACATTTTTTGTTCAGAAGCATTGATTTTCCCTCACATATATTATAGGGCTTTGTTAATTTCATTCTTTTTGCAACATTTTTCCAGTACACGTAGTTTCCTGCATCCATTTCTTTCACCTGGAATCTGTTCACATAATTTGCTTTCACATAGCACATTCAGGTACACATAGTGCTAGGTATCTTTTCATTTGTTATTTTACATCAGATGTGATCTATGTGTGTCTACATTCATGTGCCCTGCATGTGTGCTCTTCTCTCCTGAGGTTCGCCAGTGGTCCTCGCTCCTGGGAGGACCTCTCTGCTTTTTTACCTGATTCTGCTGCCTGTGGTCCCGTTTCGTTTGGGTCTGGACGTCCTTTGGTTCCTGGCATGGCTGCTGGAGTTCTTCGGTCCGCCTGGGACCTGGTCCTGTCCCTGCTCGTCTGCTTACTGCTGAAGGATTTCGCTAAGTGGAATTATTGTCGCCTGTTTAAAATTATTTCTTCAAGTTTGGGAGTACCATTGACTATTCTCCGGTGTGGCGGTTTGCCTTTCCTCACTCCTGATGCCTCTGCCTGGGAACTAACCTTTTCCTCCCTTGATTGAGTCCTCGGGGCCTCTGGAATTTTTCAATGACCCGTGGTTTCTGCCAGGTCCCCGTATCCTTGAAAAGGGGGGACATGTAATGTCCAGAAATGGTCAGTTTTTCATGTACAGCTTGACACATTCAGTATCTGGTAATATGGAGACAGGAGTCTAGATTTGGGGCCTTTAATCTGCCGGATCCTGCCATTCCATCAGCTGGAGTCCGGGCCTCTCTGCAGCTCGGAACACATGATAACATGTTGTCAACAAACTGTTCCCTTCTCAAGGTCCTTCTGTGCCAAGCCTGCCTGCTTATCTAGGCCAGACGGGACTGTTGCAAGAGTGACTGTTTCAGCTTATATGAGTTAATCATTCGTGAAAAAATGATAATAATGTCTTCATTAATCTGTGCTTAAACCAGTAAGGTTGATTGATCTGTGCTTGAACTACTGAAAGTGTGAAATGAAATGAATTATTACATTGAATGATTTATGCATATGATAATCAGTAATGTTTGATATGACAAGGCGATCGTCACCTACACCCAGACACAAGGTTCACTAGAGATAAATTAAAGTTAAGTTAAACTCATGACACACAGATATTTCCTTACCCTAAATCAGAGCATCCAGTATCTCAAAGAAGGCATGATGTTCTGAGGCTCTTGGTAATATCCCTTAACACGGCACATTCTGATTGGACAAGAATTCATAATATGAGAATATTAAAACAGAGCTCACGAGACAGTGACTCAGTTCTAGAGAACGCTACGGAACGGCCGCCCGGAGCGAAACCTCTATAACCCTGAGCATTTTTGGCAAGCTGTCAAAACCCTGCCAAACGCTGCCTGCTGCTGACACAGCAGATGGTTCCTGCAGAACAAAGCTGATGCTGTTCCGACTCCCTAAGAGTCCTTCTAGACGAAACGGTTCCATCCATCTGTTGTGACCCGGAAACATCTCTGGACTGGAGAGTCGGTGCTGCGGTTATTCTACAAACCTCGGTGCCCAGAGGTCATCCGACCTCTCTGACCTTCGGATCCACGAAGAGGGTCTCCTGAGGTAGACACACAGATGGCGTCTGATGCCTTTTTGATAACAACCAACTTCACAGCTTAATGCAAACCAAATTCTTTCCTTTTTACACCCAGAACTCAGTTCTCCTAGATACAAAAGTTCTGATAACCTCACATTCACACATAGTCACCATACATCACATCCCATCCACCTAGATCCATCCATCCACAGTAATATTAGTTAACTTGTCATGTTTTTAATTGTTTGGAAAATAAATTCTTACTTTTTATAAACCTGACTCTTTTCTTGAATCAAGACAAAATGTCCTGCAATTCCTCAAGTCAGGTGTGTTTAAGCAGGGAAACAACTAAAATATGCAGAATAGTCCCCCCCCCCGTACAGAGATGGGCCCCCCTGGTCTATGACACTAATGCAGCAGCAGTTTGTCAGTGAAGGAGCCCCTCTGTTCTTCTCAGCTTCATCTTTCATGGAGTGGACCTTTTGAGTTAATGTTACACGTATCTTCAGGTATTTTCACATTTTTCTTTGCTAAAGTGCAGTGTGTGTGTGTGTGTGTGTGTGTGTGTGTGTGTGTGTGGTCCCTGCACTCTTCTTACCTCTGCAGCAGCTACTCTTCAGCTCAGCCTTTCACTTCATAACAACGTGCCGTAAGGCAAGCCAAAGCAAAAGTAGCTTTTCCTTATAATAAAGCTTCCTTCACTCATGCTGCCAAACACATCCTTGTTGAAATGAGGCTATAGTTGACTCTACTCCTGTTCACCACCTAGATCACACTCCTTTACATACTTTCATAACACTGATTTTATGTTTATTTATTTATGTTTATTTATTTGGAAGATGCTTTTATCCAAAGCAACGTAAAACCTATAGGGCATGTCGTGATCTGTGAGGGAAACCGGAGTTCCCGGAGGAAAACCACACATGCATGGGGTGAACATGCAAACTCCTCCAGTCGAGTTTCAAACCTGCAACCTTCTTGCCGTGGGGCAACAGTGCTAACAACTGCGCCACCCTGCAGCCCATTTGTCTGGGTTCCTGGATCCATCTTTAATCTTGTAAACATTCTCCAACTATCGATGTAAATTCTGGTGTTCACCTTTGATCCTGTTTGTTTGTCTTTGCTCTTATTTTCTCATCATCAGTTTTCTCTTCTTTTATATGCTCAAATGTAATTGTGTGTGTGTGTGTGTGTGTGTGTTTTGCACTACCTCCTCAGCCAGGTACAACAAAGGCTATAAAAACATAAAATTACTACAAACATGTTTTATAGAATCCAAAGACTTGCTTATAATTGTTTTTTCTCCTTTACAATACAGTTTTTTCTGTTTACACCTTCTTGTTGTAATGTTACTAGATAACCACTAGAGGGCAGCAGCTGTATAACAGAAGAAGAAGCCAAAAATCAAAAAAGTACCAAATATTTGCTAATTGCCTTACATGTCTACCATATCACCTTGTTTACATTATTTATTTTCTTTCCTAATCACAATATTTGAATGTGTTTTGTAATAATGGATCCATGAGGACATTTTACCTTTACAGCATCTGTCGGTAACTTGGGTCTCTGATGATTTTTCTGCTTCAACACGAGAAAACGAATCATGTTAGTCTTTGGGACAATTTTTTTTATATTTTTCTAAAAATGAAAGCCCTCATCCTCCTTTCATCTCTCCTGTAAGGTGTCATTCACCTGATTTGGGCCCAGTTCTGAAGCTTCTGGTCCTGTTTCAGCAACACCCTTCATAAAAGCCCCCTGAATCAACTCTAGACGGTTGTTTCTACTGAGGTGAAACTTTATTCGTGTCTGGATGTTGTGTAGAAATTCCATCAGAGGGTTTAGATTTAGTTTAAACTTTTTTGGCTAAATAAATTTGAACATCATCAGCAAAGCTGTGGAATGGTGAGCATGACTCAAACATGAAATAATCTGTACTGCATGCTTTTATTTTGTTAGTGTTAACTAATCACTTCCTCTCTAAATTAACCAGTCAGTCGATGGGATTCCCAGATTAGCCACAGCTGCACGTCTTCTGAGGCCTGAAGAACGAACCGGCAGCAACGAGACATTCAGCTAACAATCACACTCTGACAAAAACATTAGCATCCAACCTAGCGTGGCTCATGCATGTAAGAAACAGAGGCTAAAAGAAACATTTAAATATTGGTAGTCTTTATTTCCACAAGACTAAGAAAAGTTGTATAATATACATTTGTTTCTTACAATTTAACATCTATTTCATCTCGTCTTCTCCAACACATTTAGGAACATACTCTGGTGTGTGTGTGTTAAGGCCTCTTTTAGAGACATCTAAAAATGGCTGCTCTCTATATACACATTTCATTCTTTTTTCAGTCAGTCTCTCTTTCCTCAGCAGGGTGAGTCCTTTCAGTTCCTGTGGGCCAAAGGCAGGTGGAGAGAATTCACCGCCTCGTCAACTCAACTATTAAGGCAAAAGGCACCGATGGAACAAACATCCAGCGGCCGGACCTCCCGCTGGTCGGAAAAGGCCGCTGCCTTGGCCTGCAAGCAAAGACATTCACCATCGTCACCCGAACGGCTTCCCCCGTTGCTCAGGATGCCGCTTCAGTTCCTCCGAGGTGACACAAACACACGCACGAACCCTTTGTAGAAATGTTTGAGGAACAAATCAAAAACAGGAGACTGAGGCGGTGACGCCAGCTCCAGCTCCTGAAGCACAGCTCTGTGGTTTAAACTTGGGGCTTCAGTACTTACATGGTTTGCATAGATGTTTCAGATCCTTTTTTCTTTCCGAGAACTGCCACAAATGCAGATTTGAACATTTTTTTAAAAATGTAACTATTTAGAGCTCCAAAAATAATCATACTGAGAAATTCAACTCTTAAAGCCACAACGTGCTCATTAAAGTCCGTTTGTGATAATGTGATAAAAGACTCAAACATAAGTTGGTGCTCAGAAGCTACAGGAGGTTGTTTTAGATCAGAAAAGCCAAAAGAAGTCACTTACAGACCTGATCATCACGATATGCCATTAAGGCAATCTGCCACCTGGAGCCTTTTTCAGTTTTAACCATGAAAAGCTGCTAACATTGTACCAAAGACAGAAGGGAGTGGGTAGGCTGGATGATCGGGGAGGTGGAGCAGTGTGCTCTGGGATGGGGATGTCTGGAATCTGAGCACAACGCTTCCCTAGACCAGTGAAAGTACCAAAAGTTTAACTTCATACCAAAAACAGCTCCTCAGCGTAAAACCCTGTAACAGAACCCTGCTGCTGCTTCTTCTCTGGTTTTTATGTGAAATGCGTCAAACCTCTATCTTCACTTACAAGGGCCTTTGCTTTCACCTGGGGTCATGACAGGGTTAACCCCAGCCACGAGTCCACGTCTATCAGACACCATCAGAGAGCACGCGTCAGGTATGACCTTACTGTTAAACCGTTTAAGCTGAGGGAATTAAATTACACGAGGAGGAAAATGAAAAGGTGGGGTGTTCTAATGCTCATGTGCTGGTGGTGCCTTCAGTGTCCTGAACGCTGAAAACGGATGAGTCCATCTGAGGGTCAAGCACCTGTGTTGTAACTGATCTGGCTGTATTTCTGAGAGAGGAGCTCAGATGAAAGGCTCCTCCAGTCCTTGATGGTTTTCAGTCACACCTGTAGAAAAACCAGCAACCTTGTTTCTTTATCTGAAATAGTAACAGCAACAGAAAAGGGTTTGTACTGATCTGATTTTGGACTAGAGGAGAGAACATCCTCAGAAATACAAAGACGTCCCAAAACAGGTCGAGTTTTCATCTAAATGCTTCTCAGATGGTGATCATCCATAAAAAAGGCACAATCATATGATCGAACTGCCAGGATGAGACAGCAGAACCACGGGGAGCCTTCTATCTGGGGGGACAGGTGGAGTTCTCCGTTTCCGTACGCTGATGTCCTTACAAACATACAAATAGTTAATAGTGAAGTTACTGTAATATCAAGAAGAGTCTTCCCACCCCCCCAAACAGTGGACAGTCCGAGTCCCAAAAGCAGTCTCTCTAAAGTCTCTGACGGTGTTCCCATTCCTTCTGATTACTCTGACGGTCTCTTCCTCTCCGCCATGATACTTTTATCTCCAGTGAGGGGCGAGCAGAGCCAGGCCCAGCCCGCAGAGCACCAGCGCCATGCTTCCCTTCAGGACGGCCCCGGCCCCTCCTGGACTCTTCTGCTCCGTCCGGACTTTGGATAACCTGGTGTTTGGTGTGGTGGGGAAGTACATGTCGTCTGTTTGGGAGGTGGTGTCACTGCCGCTGCCGCTCTCCTCTCCTCCGCTGCCCTCCACATCTGCAACAGAAAACATCAGAAAGAACGGATGTCAGAGACGGGTCACAGACCTCTTAGAGATCGATTAGAGACAGGTCAGAGACAGATTAGAGACAAATCAGAGATGGGTCACAGACCAGTTAGAGATAGACTAGAGACAGACCAGAGACGGGTCACAGACAAGTTAGAGATGGGTTAGAGACAGATCAGAGGTGAGTTAGAGACTGGTCACAGACGAGTTAGAGATAGATTAAAGACAGATCAGAGATGGGTCACAGACCAGTTAGAGATGGGTTAGAGACAGGTCAGAGATGAGTTAGAGACTGGTCACAGACCTGTTAAGAGATAGATTAGAAACAGATCAGAGACGTGTCACAGATGAGTAAGAGATAGATTAGAGACAGATCAGAGATGGGTCACAGATGAATTAGAGACAGATCAGAGACGGGTCACAGACACATTAGAGATGGGTTAGACACAGATCAGAGACAGATTAGAGACAGATCAGAGACGGGTCACAGACCAGTTAAGAGACAGATTAGAGACAGATCAGAGACGGGTCACAGACCAGTTAAGAGACAGATTAGAGACAGATCAGAGACGGGTCACAGATGAGTTAGAGATCGATTAGAGACAGATCAGAGACAGGTCACAGACGAGTTTGAGATAGATTAGAGATAGATCAGAGACGGGTCACATACCAGTTAGAGATCGATTAGAGACAGATCAGAGACGTGTCACAGACCAGTTAGAGATAGATTAGAGATAGATCAGAGACAGGTCACAGACCAATTAGAGATGGGTTAGAGACAGGTCAGAGATGAGTTAGAGACTGGTCACAGACCAGTTAGAGACAAATTAGAGACAGATCAGAGATGAGTCACAGACAAGTTAGAGATGGGTCAGAAATGACTCAGATGGTTCAGAGATGAGTTAGAGACAACTCAGAGATGGGTCAGAGAGCACTCAAAGACGAGTCAAAGATAGGTCATAGACTGGTCAAATTGGTGTTGTTTGTTCTGGATCCTCACCGATATCAAACGAGATGTCATTGCCGCTGTGTGCGGCTTTGAGCCAGCTCGTCATTTCCTTCAAAATGGCAATCTGACTGCGAATGACCGTATCTGGTTTAGTGATGTCCACCTCCACGTCTGGGTTGGACACCTGATTGGCCAGCCCGTTGCCCATAACGAGTGACTCGTACCTGAGCAGAACGAGGGTTTGATATCAGACTCACAGAAACAGGTTCTATGTAGACATGTGGGCGGGGTTCTGGTCTCACCTGCTTTTGGCGGTCCCATTCCAGCACTCGTCACCAGGTGCAATCCTCTCACCTGCACACACCGTCTCCGGCAACGTCGACCAGAACTTCTTTGCGTGTTTTAACTTCTTTTTCACTTCACCTGTCTGAGCAGCACAGAAAGAACTAGTTAAACAACAACAAACCAGAACTAACGATTTTATGTGGTGCTTTGCTCCCCGAGTCCTCACCAGTCGGTCTAAACTGGTACCAGCAGCAGTAGTGGGTCTTGCTTCTGGACTGTAGGGACGGAATCGACCAGTAAAGACAGTTTCTTTTACGGATCGTGCAGATCGAGAGATCGGCTTTAGTTTTGGCGTCCCACATCCCTGGAATACCTGTTGAGAGTGCAGCAGGGATTGGAGCTTCGGGTCAAAGGAACATTGATCAATGCCACAAAGTAAAATGCTACAGACCTTCTGAGACACCTGCATGCTGTTCTCCTGCATGTTCATGATAGCCTCTGATATCTTAACATCAATGGGGTCCATCACAGACTCAAAGTTAAAGGGACCTTCAAGCCTCTCAGCCAGACTCAGCATTGCACCTGCAAGGCAAAAGTCAGCGTTTTAAACCCCATCCATGTTCATGCTGTGGTGGTGTTATTACAGACGACCACTAGAGGGAGGCACTTCCTAACCAGTCAGTGGAAGAGACACATGGATCAGAGTAAAGAATGTGTGCACCAGCCTAGATGTAATGGAACAGATCAGAGTTAGTGTTTACATAAAACACCAGCAGCCAACAACACGGACTTGCATAACAAACTAAAGAATGAGGGACGTGTTTCTACACGGCTTTTGACAACAGAGACGTCCTTTTGTCTGCTGCAGCTGCCAAGCAGCACAACATGGTAACTCGTTACATTCCGACAGCGGTAAAAAGGGATTAGATCAGATAAAACTGAGAAAATAATCGACACAGAAGATTTGTTGTTGAACACGGATGAAGTCTCACTTTTATGCTATGGCGTTCCACCATGATGCTTTTTAGTTCTAGTTTTAGATCATTGAGCCTGTTTGTTGCATCTTTTGCTCTGGCTTTTATTAGTTTTATGGAAGGTTCATTGTTGTTTTGATGTCTTTTGTTTTTGTTGGGCCAATAAGGAGTAAAGAAATTCAGGAAAAACGAGGACGCATTAGGAGTATCCTTCGTATTTGGATAGTCTCGTCTCTTCGTTGTGATGTAACTGGCCCTGAAATGTGACCCTGCAGGTGGCCTTCTTTACTCGTTCACCTACCGAGGAAGTTGTTCCACTCGGCGTCCAGATCAGCCTGGTTAGCCAAACAGCCCCGCATCACATTCAGACAGTAATTCTGACAGGGCTTCAGGGCCACCTGGCCTGAGCAGTAGGGACAGTACAACATCTTCATGGTCGCCCGGACGCAGCTGGGAGACGCGCTGACCTGGAGGAGGCAGGGGGACGTTAGCAGCCTGTTTTTGTTCAACCACAGAAAAACACTCATCCTACAGTCATGGACACATTCCTGTTCTCTGGAAACGGAAAAAAATGGCTGACCATAAATTTGATAAGCAACCAAACGGTATAATCTAATCAGCAGTGAATCACTCATGGAAAAACATGTCAAACCAGAGGAGACAATGGGGTTTATGTTAGCAGGGACTGTGTACTGAAACCACAGCTGGCTTCTTCCACGAACCGTATGAAGTCAGGCTCGGAGGGAACGAACGTGTAGAGGGGCAAAGTTAGCAACATTTAAAAATAAATACCACTTACCGTGGAAACCTTATTGATCACATCTGGCATCAGGGAGAGGCCGCGCACAAAGGTGCGTGCAGCCACGAAGGCCCGGGTCAGCTGGATGCGGAGCTTACGAGGGACGTCGCCGAAGGGCTGCAGCTGCTCCGTGTGCTGGCTCACGCACTCCATGTAGGCGTCGCTGAAGTCGTACTGCACGTTGACCAGCCGGAACATCCTCTCCAGGAGGTCGTCCCAGAAGTCCGACAGCATGGAGTCCAGGTTGACGGCAGCGCTGCCCGACACGTAGTACTGCGTCAGGGACTTGAAGAAGTCCCTGAACAGCGCCGCGTTCTGGACGTACATCATGCCGTAGGTCCGAACAAACATGTTGTTGAGCGAGTCCTCTGCGTTTTTCAGAAGCTCACGGAAAAACTCTGAGGAGAGAAGATGAGAGGATTCAGGAGAAAAGTGGACGATAAGATTTGTTACATCCAACATGACCTTTTAGAGATGACTCAGCATGACCTGTTGCTTGGTGAATCACCTGCACGCCACAGGGTCGGGTGTCAGATGACTAACTGTAACGAGGAGGTCAGTTCTGGAACGAGGTTTGAATATTTCACACAGAAAGGTCTCTTAATGAGGGCTGGACCGAAAGAGGGGCCGGGTGTTACGGGTGGAGCTGGTGTCTCTCCACATTAATGTGTTCAGACGTCCACCGCCGTCTTCTCCTGTCACATTCCATTGGCTCTCCTCTCTGCCAACTTCTCTTGGACTGTCCTTCACGAGCATTTTCAATAGGATTACTGAATAGTGTCCCCCCCCCCCACACACACACACACACACACACACGTTTGCATATGCGGACCTGCCCCCCCCCCAACTGCTTTCACTTCATCAGTTCCTTCAGAAAGCTCTCTTCACTACAGACAGGGAACAATGACCCACTTCATCCCATGGAATGTCAACCCCCCCCCCCCCCTCCAATAATCCAGGCCTCCTCTCCCATGACCCCCCTCCCCCACATAAATGTCCTAATCTGAACAAAATGAGAATTCCACAGAGTCCCTGAAAATGTTTCACCTTAAGTTCCACATGGAATCAAGCACACACTCCTGCTTTGGATTCCCCACCCCCCACCCCACCCACCCACACACACACACACACACACACGCACACGCACACGCACACGCACACACACACACACACACGCACACACACACACACACACACACACACACACACACACACACACACACACACACACACACACACTGACCCTTGTGGACAAAACTTGTCTCCCTGCAGTGTCTCTGGGTGCCCACTGTGGGGCTTTGAACTGTAAAGTTCCCATGCTCTCACTAAATGCTTTCTGCCACCAGTACACACACACACACACACACACACACACACACACACACACACACACACACACACACACACACACACACACACACACACACACACACACACACACACACACACACACACACACACACACACACACACACGTCAAGTAGTGCTGTCACTTCCACTTCAGACTGACACATTAAAAAGGAAAAATGAGAGAAGGGAGGGGGGGGGGGGGGGGGGGGGGGGGGGGGGTTAAATTGTGGGATTTTTACTCCAAACCCCTGCTGAGTCTCCAAGTATACCGGAAACACTGCACCCCCCTCATTTACCTCACCACCATCACTGACCCAACACACACACACGCAGAGCGCCACTAAGTTCCACGCTCCGCTGACAGAGATTAAAACAAACTGGTCCACCCCCACCGCTGGAATGTCACGGCAGACACAAGTTGAAAGTCAGTGAATAGAGACTGAGGAAGAGGAGGAGGAGGAGGAGGAGGAGGAGGAGGAGGAGGAGGAGGAGGAGCGGGCATGAAGGACAACTCTCAACGTCTATTTCCTTTTAACATCCAACTCAAGCAGAAATACCCCTGTGTGTGTGAGTGATGCAGGGTGTGTGTGTGTGAGCGTTACAGGGTGTGTGTGTGTGAGTGATGCAGGGTGTGTGTGTGTGAGTGATGCAGGGTGTGTGTGTGTGAGTGATGCAGGGTGTGTGTGTGTGAGTGATGCAGGGTGTGTGTGTGTGAGTGATGCAGGGTGTGTGTGTGTGAGCGTTACAGGGTGTGTGTGTGTGAGTGATGCAGGGTGTGTGTGTGTGAGTGATGCAGGGTGTGTGTGTGTGAGTGATGCAGGGTGTGTGTGTGTGAGCGTTACAGGGTGTGTGTGTGAGCGTTACAGGGTGTGTGTGTGAGGTACAGGGTGTGTGTGAGCGGTACAGGGTGTGTGTGTGTGAGTGATGCAGGGTGTGTGTGTGTGAGTGATGCAGGGTGTGTGTGTGTGAGCGTTACAGGGTGTGTGTGTGAGCGTTACAGGGTGTGTGTGTGAGGTACAGGGTGTGTGTGAGCGGTACAGGGTGTGTGTGTGTGAGCGTTACAGGGTGTGTGTGTGTGAGCGTTACAGGGTGTGTGTGTGTGAGGTACAGGGTGTGTGTGAGCGTTACAGGGTGTGTGTGTGTGAGCGTTACAGGGTGTGTGTGTGTGAGGTACAGGGTGTGTGTGAGCGTTACAGGGTGTGTGTGTGAGGTACAGGGTGTGTGTGAGCGTTACAGGGTGTGTGTGTGTGAGGTACAGGGTGTGTGTGAGCGTTACAGGGTGTGTGTGTGTGAGCGTTACAGGGTGTGTGTGTGAGCGTTACAGGGTGTGTGTGTGTGAGCGTTACAGGGTGTGTGTGTGTGAGCGTTACAGGGTGTGTGTGTGTGAGCATTACAGGGTGTGTATGAGCGTTACAGGGTGTGTGTGTGTGAGCGTTACAGGGTGTGTGTGTGTGAGCGTTACAGGGTGTGTGTGTGTGAGCGTTACAGGGTGTGTGTGTGTGAGCGTTACAGGGTGTGTGTGTGTGAGCGTTACAGGGTGTATGTGTGTGAGCGTTACAGGGTGTGTGTGTGTGAGCATTACAGGGTGTGTGTGTGTGAGCGTTACAGGGTGTGTGTGTGTGTGTGTGTGAGGTAGCAGTGAGGCCTTCAGGCTCCAGCCGAAGGGTTTCAGCAGCATTACTCAGGCATGCTGCGTTGTCATTAAAAATCCGTTTATGACACACAGCCGCCTGCCAAGAGGCCAAAGAGCTGAATACACACCAGATTTTTCCATTAAAACCGTGTTTGTCACTCAGCCAGCAGAGTGAGAGAATATGGGTGAAGGGTTAGAGAGAAGAGAGAGAGGAGGAGGAGGGTGAATCTGGCCTCTGAGGATCACTTTTCCTCCTTCACACAACCTCCACTGTCACCGTTTCAGCAGAGAAAAGCCTTTATTACGGGCAGAAATCTGAGGTCCAATCCATCACAGGAAAAGAAGAGTCGACCAATCTCCTCCCACTCCCCCCTCCCACTTCCTCCATCCCCCTTTCACCCCCACACCACCCACCAGTGGCCTTATAAACTCTGCTCCTCCCAATCCCAGCCCAGCCAGTAATTGCATCCTATTTGTGCCAATTAGTCGCTGAGCTTCTTTCCCCTCTTTTCTTATGGGATGGGATTGCGTCCCTCCTGCTGCTGGAACTGGCTGCTTCATATGGACGTCTCTTGTTGTGTGTGTCTGGAGGCAAAAAAGAGGGGGTCCTAATCCAAGTGCTTAATTCCCAGACATGGACTTGCACTGCTGGACGGGGTCAGTGCAGCAGGACAGACAGGCTGAGGCCAGCACAAACACACAGAGAGGGGAAAACTATTCCTGGCTCTGGTCTTAATTGGCCGTGACTCCTCGCTCCAGGCGCATGATGAGAGCAGGCCTAATCACATCCACCACTTCCTGAGTTTGTTGGTGTGCAGCGATGGTTTTCGTGTACAGACGCAGCTGTGACTATGTACACCAGCATCACACTCACTGCAGTAACACTGACTTCCTGCTGCTGGTTTCACCTACTAAAAGGTGTCCTTTAGAGCGTCCCAACGCGACAACAGGAGACATTAGGACAGCAATCTGAACCGGTTATGTTACCTAGTGAGAGAGCCCGGCTTAATGGCTCAGGTGGAACAGCGCAGCAGGTCACTAAAGAGATCCTACATCTAACAACCTGCCTGCAGAGATGAAGACGGGACACCAACTGCTCTTCTCTGGTGGTTTTCCACCAAAACTGAAAAAAGCTCCATTGGGGGAAGAAGCTTGTCAGGGCGGGGCGGGTCCCAGAGCTAGGTGATCCGTACACAAGACAACAACGAGGACATGGTAGAAATGTTGAACGTTCTGCTCGATCTGTGGCTTTTCTGTTGGACTCTGAGAAGAAGAGACCCTGAAAAGGTTGCAGGCAGCAAGGTGGAACACTTGGGAGCAACCACTCACAGCTAGTCTGTGACCAACCCGTCTCTGTCGTCGTGTTTTCGGCCTGGCTTAGTATGCTTGGAACCTTAGGAAAGTAGGCACTAGTGGAGCAGGGCCAAGGGTAACCAAAAATGTCTGAAGTCCGGACCACACTGCGTGTTTTCTGCCTTTCTAGACAAATCTCTCGTCGTGAGCAGAACTGTAAACGTTAGGGTGATGTGCAAGTCTGTGGCCGTCCAGCGTGACCGGCTCTACGACCCAATACGAGCACCCTCACAACCAAAGACAGCCTCTCTGTGGGTTAGCTGTTGCTGATATTTATATGCTCTTACTTTGTGACTTTCACTGTAATCAGATGATTGAAGCACTGCTTGAAAACCTCTGACTCCCATCTGCAATCCAGCAGTGAAAGTACACCCAGGCAGAGGAGCAGCTAGTGATGGGAGTGCAATACAAGAGTGGAGTTAGCAACATCAGCAAGAGCAGAAGCAACACGCAGGAACAAGCGGACCGCTCCTTTGTGGAGTTTGCTTCGGAGTCATGTTAATGGCAGTGCCCTTTACTTTGTTTTGGATAGCGGTCTGCTTTTAGTGACGTGTGGTTTTGGGGCTTGTGACGTGGACGCGTCCTGCTAGAGCGAGACGTCGTGGAGTTTGGCCCACTGAAATCTTAGACGGTACAGTGTGCCACCTCTCTGGAGTCCTCCGTGTGACATGAGCCAGTGCAACAGCTGAAAAAGACGCGCTGTGGTCCAAATATCCGAGCATAGATCAGGGTATCTGCAGGTTTAGGGGAACCTAATTTAAGACTTTTTAAGGCCTTTTTTTAAGGCCACTTTGACCAAATTTAAGCTATTTAAGCAGGGCAGCAGTAGCTCAACAGGTAGAGCGGGTTGTCCAGTAATCGCAAGGTTGCAGGTTCGATCCCGGCTCCGGACAGAGAATTCTGCTGTTGTGTCCTTGGGCAAGACACTTAACCCACCTTGCCTGCTGGTGGTGGTCGGAGGGACCGGTGGCGCCAGCACTCAGCAGCCTCGCCTCTGTCAGTGCGCCCCAGGGCAGCTGTGGCTACATCGTAGCTCATCACCATCAGTGTCTGAATGTGTGTGTGAATGTATCAATGATACACTGTAGTGTAAAGCGCTTTGGGGTCCTTACTCTGAGAGAAACTATACAAGTACGGGTCATTTATCATTTTGAAAAATTAAATTTAAGCTATAATTTCCAGCTATTGCCTGGAACCGGTGCTAACCACGCAGCGATCGTGGGATTAGACATCAAGTTACCATTAAACTTGCACTTCCCCATGGCGCAAGCTCCCACTAGCTTAACCAGCTAACGTGCTCATCTAAAAATAGCCCCCTTACACAACCAACTGAACGTGTACGGTTCCGTTTACGCCAATATCATAAACAAAAAATGCTGAACACTAACTAGAAATTCACGAAAATTTTATAGAAATAAAAGAATCTTGTTTATTGGGTCTTTGGTAATTTAAGACCTCTGGAAACTGTATTTAAGGATTATTTGTCAATTTTAAGGATTTTTAAGGCCTTAAATTTGGAAAAGCTAATTTAAGGCTTTTTAAGGACCCGCGGATACCCTGATAGATGGACATGTAAACCTCCAGGTCGTGTGTCAGATCTGTGAACGTGTGATTTTTAGTTTAGATTCAGCGTGACGGGCTGATCAGGGGCAAAGGGACGTAAAAGCAAAGGGTGGATAGGGCTGCGGTCGTTACCTTTGTAAAACATGCTGAGGAGGTCATTCAGCCTTTTGAGGAAGACTGAGGAAATGCGTAAAAGCTGATCTTGAGGACCACATCTTGGTCTTAACCTCAATAAAAACACAACCATCTCTGTCACCTAGCTGCAATAAAAGACAGCTGAGCTGGAATTTCGCTCACCTTTTCACTCCGATTACGGTTTTGTGTGAAATCCACAAAGTCCCTCTTCAAGGCACCTCCAGTTGTTCACAAACACGGGCTGATTGAGCCAACCGAGTCCTACAACGATGCTTACACACCCACACACACTCGAAGCCAACATCTCCTCCCTCTCCTACTCGCCAACTCAGGCTTCTTGTGGAATTACTCTTTATTTGCTGTTTCCTAAGAACTTCCTCAGAAACCCAACACGGTTCCTACAGATGTCTTCATTAACCTCAAACGCTGTAGAGACAACACCAGGCCTGTATGTGGCGCTGTAGCGCTGCCACACACATCCACTAATAACAGGAATCAGGACCAGAGCAGCAGCAGAAAGCTTTGCGGATAGGACAGATGTCAGTATGTGGAGTCTACGGAGAACCAGGAAAAAGAACAAAACTCTGGATTGGACAAATGTCAGGCTTCTTCTGTGAGCCGCATTAAACTACAGGACCAAACATACAGGGTTCCTGCAGGGTTCTTAGAGTTAAATTCAAGTCTTTTTAAACCCATTTATATCAAACGTAAAACCCATTTCACGGCCCTACCAGCATAGAAAAACAAAATACTTGAACCTGTGTTTATTTCTCAAAGAAATGTGGAATGCGTTCAGGATGCAGCGCACGAAATGAACGAATCCTCGAATCAGTAAAAGTTATTTGAGGAATTTATTGAAACCATTCGAGTATTCAATTCAGCCTGGAAACACAGCGCAACGTTTAAGACCCAGATATCAAAATCCAAGACTTTTTCAAGGCTTTTGAAGGTGTTATTTTCAGATTCGATGCTTTTAGGACCTTGCAGGAACGCTGACACAACAGACGCTTCATCACACATTTGGGTTTCAAACAGTGTTGTTTCCATGTGGTTACAGCATTACAAACGTTCACACGACACCAAGCTGGGAAGGAAAGACATCAAGAGTTGTCTTGAAAAGGGGCGACAACATGACCGATACCATAAAGTAAATTTATTATAGTGTGAAGTCATTTTTAGTAACTAGTTAAATGATGCAAATCACCGGTGACAGTGGCGTGTTGTCTCTGTGCTCCTGGCTTAGTGGTTTGCTTGGTTTCAGGTGATTTAATGAGACTTGATGTCAGTTAGTCGAGTAAAATTCCTCACAAGATCCAACTTGGATCAGTAAAATTTGTGCAACCATTTGTTTGCTGCCTGGATAAACTCAACAGAACAGAGAGAAAAGCCAAGCCAGAGTCACGGTGGAAGCAGATGTTCTCATAATTCTCCAGAAACCCAGAGGGAAATCATCTCAATCGTGTTTCTGGTTTCAGTTCCTAAAAATCAATCACTGAGAATTTGAGTCAGACATGAAAGCTTTTCGCAGTAAGTCATCAAAGACTGTTTTCTAAATTTGAATGAAGAAATGACACCACATCCTCAGCTGTCTCTACTGTTGAAATGCCCTGTCCTTTAAGCGGTGATGAATTAAAGGAGAAGTGATGGCTCACTCGCTGAGCTCGGCCCTGAAACCTTCCCACACGTGGCTGGGATGGCTGCTTGAGAAGATGACCACGGATGGACAGGAGAGCACGCATTAGAGCAGCACTTGCAGGTTTTCAGAGGACTGAAACAGGAAGGTTGAGGGGTAAAGGAGAAAGGCTTCGGAGCAAAGCACGAGATGGGTCCGAGGAGCAGAGAGAGAGGAGAAAACGAGGGGTGGGACGGCCGAGCAGCCACTGCATTCCAGCATGTCACATTCCTCCTAACATCTGGCTGCAATACACACCGACTATCCCTCGCTGCCTTTCACAGACACATAGGATCTGAGGGTCCCTGACCTGCAAGTGTACAGAAACGCATGTGCACACAACCCTGTGCGCCAGACTACCCTGGACAATCAAAGATCTAAAGACCAAAAGCTTTCTTCCATCCATGTTCCCCGTCTCCTCTGCTCGCTCTCATCGGGCCTTGCTGCGGAGGGGGTGCTGAAGGTATTCTCTTCCTCTGTGAGTCAGCACTGCTGCGTGTTCCCATGCACTCCGGTCGTCAGTGGGGGAAACCTGATCCCAATATTTACAGTCGGACACACATGTGCTCGTGCACAGAGGAACAGGAAGTACAGAGAAGACAACATCTGAGGATGTGTGTGGTCTGTCTGGAGGCATGCATCATCTCTCTGGAGAGAAGGGAAGCTGGTGTGGCGGAGGGGGGTGTGGGGCACGATAAGACTGAGACACTGAGGGACAGGTGGACGGGCTGGCAGGCACAGACAGAGCGTCTCCGCTTTGAGCTGCAGGCTAGCAGATGGGGGCGTCTGTCAAAAACGGTGAAACACAAGCGCTGCTGCAGGGACAGTAGCACGGCGTAGTCTGAAACCTGGCCGGTGTGAATGTTGGTGCAAGCGTGTTTGCTTACTGTCAAAGTTGTCGTGCCTCTGTTTGAAGGAGGATTGCAGGTTGGTGCTAAGCCTGGACACGGGGGCTTTGATCTCCGTCTGACTCTGCTGGCTCAGCTTCTCCTCCAGCTCCACCGTGCAGCAGGAGAAACCCTGTGGACACACCTTCAGGGGGGCTCCTAGAAAAGAGACACAGCATCTTACAATCAGTTCACCAGACTCGATCCTCATCACCTGCCCCGGAACAGCAAAAGGTGGGTGTCTTTGTCCAGGTCTGCTGGCCTGTGAACGGATTTGAATGAAACTCTCTGAAATAATTTCCTACATGTGATTCACGATGGCCGCTACAAGGAGACAAACAGTTATCTTTACACTCGAAAACCCAGACGCTAGCATCTCGTACACCTAGCTCGTTTCTCAATACTCAAGGATGCTAGTAGGTTCTTGTGTTCTTAACAAGTTTGTTCTTGGCGAGGACACCAAAAGGTCCGCACTACTGAGTACGGGAGGGCGACGGACGGCATTTGGAACAGAACTGTATTCCGTAGCGTCATGGCAACAAGCGCTTGCTGCTACGGTTAAAAAAACAACCCGACATAAAAATAAAACTCCAGGCCATTTCTGAACGTGTACTCGTCTGAACACGTCCTTGTGAAGTCATCAACGATGGCCCAAGTACTGCTCCAACTCTAAGTATCATGGCAAGTTCCTGATGTGTTCTGGCTCCGCCCATTGTTTTAAGGCTTGTGGGCATCAGAACGAGCCCCCCCCCCCACACCGTGAGAACAAACATCCCAGCTCTAAAGCCGATCTTCATCCGCGTATGTCACTCGTCACGTGATCAGGAAGCTGAGGTGCTGAAAAAATCGATTCAAGTCTGAATCGGGATTCTTATTTAATAAGGATTCAGAATCGATTCCAAGAACTCAAATATTTGGCACGTTAAAGGTTTGAGATGCACTCTCATCTGTTTTTTGATCTTTGCTAGGAGAGTTGGTACTCTACTGGTCCCATAAATTGAGATGATTGATTTGTGAATCTGCTGATAAGTGGGCACAAGAAGAAGAAGAAGAAGAAGACATCTTCTATAGCGCCTCTCAAGATAAAAATCACGAGGCGCTTCACAAAAACAAAAAATGTAAAATCTAAAAAAGAATGTAGAAAATGACTAAAATATATTTAAAATGAGCAAATGTAATTGTTTCTATACTTAGTAAAAAATATGAGAATATCTCAAATTTCTAAGTCGATAAGTGAGTACTC